CAGAGCGGGATATGGGGTGAGAGCAGGGGCTGCAACTGGTCACCAACTTCACAGCCCCAGTGTCCCATGGGAGGGAGAGGAGGGGAGCAGACAGGTGAGGATTCCCAGCCAAGGGCTGCCTGTCATCCATTTTCTAGCCAGGGAAAGCCTGGGCTGAGCCTTTGCAACTCACTGCATGCAAGGGAAGCTTTGAAGGACATCAGATGGAAAGCGGATGGCCCTGGGAACATCGAACTGTGCTGAGAGACAGGAGCTGTGCTGAGAGCATCACCCTGAACAGAGCATCACCCCAATGAGGGATCAGCCCAAAAAGAGCATCACCCTGACAAAAGCATCACCCTGACTAGAGCAGCATCCAAATCAGAGTTTCCAGCAGAGTCCCAGGGCTCGCTCGGCAGTTGTGCTGTCTCCAAGTGACTGACTCCCTCCAGATTGCCTCAAATCTCGATTCAAGAATGTTGTTTGGGCTGAAGAATGCATTGCTACAAAGGAAAAAAAAAGGCAAAAGGGAGGCCGGGGTGAGAGGGGAGGCGTTCGGTGGGGGAATCCTGGATGAGCGGGTGAATCCTGTTTGGACGAGTAGGGTTATTCGGAGGCTATAGGTTCACAGCCCCAGTGTCCCATGGGAGGGAGAGGAGGGGAGCAGACAGGTGAGGATTCCCAGCCAAGGGCTGCCTGTCATCCATTTTCTAGCCAGGGAAAGCCTGGGCTGAGCCTTTGCAACTCACTGCATGCAAGGGAAGCTTTGAAGGACATCAGATGGAAAGCGGATGGCCCTGGGAACATCGAACTGTGCTGAGAGACAGGAGCTGTGCTGAGAGCATCACCCTGAACAGAGCATCACCCCAATGAGGGATCAGCCCAAAAAGAGCATCACCCTGACAAAAGCATCACCCTGACTAGAGCAGCATCCAAATCAGAGTTTCCAGCAGAGTCCCAGGGCTCGCTCGGCAGTTGTGCTGTCTCCAAGTGACTGACTCCCTCCAGATTGCCTCAAATCTCGATTCAAGAATGTTGTTTGGGCTGAAGAATGCATTGCTACAAAGGAAAAAAAAAGGCAAAAGGGAGGCCGGGGTGAGAGGGGAGGTCGAGGGAGGGTTTGCCCTGCCCTTCTGCACTGACCTTTGCATTTTTGGAGCAGAGACTGCAGCCGCCCGACGCAGACATTTGCCAGATGTTGAGCATGTTCCTTCCATGCAGCTCAGCCAAGGCTGAGCCCAAAGGGAGTCAATGATCCCTGCTCCCTCCTCCACCCCCTCCTGCTGCCTGCACCCCTTTAGGACTCAGTTTCCCTGCCTGCCTTTTCCCTGCCTGCTTGTTTTGCAGCCACCCTCGGATATTGGGTGGAGGCTTCCATGAGAGTTTGGTTTTGGAGGAGCCTCTTACAAAAGAGCCACCCCAGCTTGGGAGAACCATCTGAGAAGAAACCCACTCTGAAAGTCCCGGGGCAGCCCCCCCAGGCACAGGGCAGCCCCGCAGACACCAGTGCTCTGGCTCCAGAGTGTGGTTAGAGGAAGGAGAGGGTTCCCTGCAGGGTGCAGGAGGATGGAGCTGAGCACAGGAACCTGGAGAGGGCAGTCGCTGCCAGTGCCTGCATGGGAAGTCTCTGCATTTTACAAGGCTGGAAGGAGCCAGGATTACAGAAGAAGAGGAGGTTTAGGCTGCAAACATCCAGAAAGGCAACCTGGGAGCCACAGAGCTCCGGGCACCAGCTCTGGAGCCTTTCTGCTCAGGTGTTTGCAGCACTAGCCTGGCCAGGAGGCCTGATGCAAAGAAGGGGATCTGGATTGTGGCTTTGCAGGTTCTTCCACCACCAGGGCTCTGCAGGTGGTAGCTCATGTGCTTCCACCCACCCTGCAAGGCTGGAGACACCAAGGGACAAATTCTCCTTGGCTCCTACATGGACTCTTGTCACTGAAGCCCCTTAAAAGAGCATCTGGAACCTTCACCCTGCAGGGATCAGCCTTGAGAGACACGACCTAGGAGGGGACCTGCAGGAGCTGCCTGGGCAGGGCAGGGGAAACAGCTACACAGCCCCCCATGGAAGTGGGAACCCCCTCCCAGGGTGGAGAGGGCTGTGGAAATTAAAGGAAATAGCAGGAGTGGGAGGACAGAGCAGCCAACAGCTCCAGCAGAGCTGAAACTTCTTGGAAATTGGGAAGAGGCAGAAATGACATCATCCAGGAGTAAAAAGGGAAGCTGCTCCCAAGTAGGGAGCACTTAGGACAGTGGCTGGGTTTGGGTGCCCGTGGTGGGTTTAACAGTTCTCCCTTCATCCAGGCAGGATGAACTTCAGCCTGAGCAGGAGCATCAGAGACTTCTGTTCCTTTGTTTTGATGTGAGGCATTTGGTCCCCGTGCCAGAAGCACCCGGACAACCCCAAGTCCACCCAAGGAGAAGACAATGCTCCCACCTCCCAGCACAGGATTGGCAAAGTCAAGGCAAACTGGAGCCAGATTCAGTGGTTTCAAATGAAAGGCTCAGGAGGATTTGATCAAAACAACTGGAACAAACCCAACCCAAATAGACATTGCTCACATCAGCTTGATTTAGAAAACCAAAGCAAATCAATAGAGGCTTCTGCCTGGCTCTGATGAGATGCAGACTGCAACAGTTGGAGTAGCTGCTCCGGATGAGATTATGCAGAGATAGGGACCATTTACTTGGAGCAAGCAGGACAGTGTGTTCCCAGCTCCTGTCACCAGTTCGGGGCTTTCTTTGAACTGTCAGCAATAAGGAAGAGGGGTTTGTGGGAGGAGATGTTGAAAACGTTTCAGGGAAGCCACTTGGGAACTGAGAGGAGCTGTTTTGCACTGACATGATACAAGCAGTAGCACTGAGGTCTTCTCAATGCCCACCTCACATCAGGCAAACGGACCTAAGTGGCTCAGAAGATGCTGGACACCTGGAGCATGAGATTTCAAGGTTGGATGGAGAAAAAAAGACATATGTGGTTCTTTAGACAGTAAATGTTTGCTTCCCTGAGATATTAGATAATCACAGAATTGTTCTGGTTGGAAAAGACCTTTAATATCACCCACTCCAACCACAACCTAACTCTACCAACCATTAACCCAGCTCTACCAAGTCCATTGATTAAACCATACATTCCTAAGCTGGTCAGGATGAGATTCGACAGAAAGTCCTGGTGACTATAGAGAACATACAATCCCAGTTTAATGTTGCTATTTTCTGGTCTAGGATGGGAAAAGGGGCTGTGGCCATAGGGAATGGCACCATTAGGAGCCAGGTCATGCAGGGGGAGCTCCTCAGCATCCCCAGGGGCACCCACAGAGGGTGCCTGACCCCAGAGGGTACTGGAGGACATCCTCCCCCTAAGGGTGCACATCCTGGGTCAGGAATATTTTGAACTCCCAGAAGATGGGGAGGTCATGCTCCTTATCTACCCTACTGGGGACAATCTGCTTTGCCAGAAAAACATCCAAGCCCTGTGAAAGCCTCTGAGCTGTTGGCCAGCAGGACACCTCTTGCTGCCAGAGATGTGACGTTGGTTGACACCATCCGAGCGCCGAGCAGCAGATGTTACTGGCTGCCACCACCCTCCCCACCATTTTCCCTGGAATGGAGCTTCCAGGCAATGGGAACAAATCCCTCCAGCGGGGTCATTCTCCACACCAACCCAACACTTCAAACCACCTCCCTGCCCACGTCCTGCAAGCTGCTCAGTAGAGAAGAAGAGATGCCACCAACGGAATGAAAGCCCCCACCCCTCTTTAATAGGGTGTCCTTTTAGGTGGCTTCGTCCCTCTGTCCTCTTTTTCCCACTCAAAAGCAAAGCTTTCTCTGAATCCTCCCTCTCCTTGCAGCTCCCAGCTGCTGTGCAGGGAGCTGTGCTTTCCAGGCACACTTCTCCTTCCCAAACAAACCGGCTTCCTGGCAAGGTCCCCACTGTACAGCGTGTCCCTCGCAGCCCCGGCCACCCCACACGCTCCTCCTCCTTCCAGCAGGGACCCCAGAGTGATCATTGCAAGGCTCCCCAAGGGAAGAGGACGTTTTGGCTGGGAAATGTCGATGGCAAGCAAGGAAAAAGCAAGCCCAGAGGGGTATCTGGCACCTGCTGAGATTCACTAAGTAATTCCAGGCTCCTGGGAGGACCTGGGCGTGCTGCCGGGGCCAGCCATGGGATGGGGACAGGAGCTCAGTTCCCTGCTGGAGGAAATGCTTGGGCAGCCCTGGAAGAGTTGTCCCCAAAGCTGAAGTACACAGAGAGCCAAGATGGGGACTGGGGGGGCTGTGACAGCACCCAGCACTCCCCCACTTTGCAAGACCCTCCTGGGCAAGGCTGGTGCTGGGAAGCAATGAGGCTTGTGGCAGGGAGAGCCCCAAGCTCTGCTGTCTCTGCCCAACTACAGGTCACCCTTGACACCTGCTCCTGTCGTCTGTCCCCCCACAGCCACCCCCAGGTCAGCCTCGGGGGGTGGGACAGACACCCCCATCCCAGTTGGATGGGCACAGCCTGCAGAAATGCCAGCTTGGCATCAGTCCCCTGCCAAGCTGAAGACAAATTTTTGCTGTCACAGTGGCCCTTTGGTAGGCAAATTATTTACCTTGGATGCTGCAGCCTTATCGTCCATGGAAATGTTTATCCTACATATTTAGTGGTGGGACTGCACAAACTGAGGCTTCCTGGGGAAGGAGCTCAGGCTGCAGTCAGAGCAGGCACTAATGTCTCTCCCCCTGGTACTGCAAAAGTTAAAGCTACTTGCTCACTTCTCCCTAAGAATCACACCCTCAGCACCTCAAAATCTGATCTTTTTTTTTTTGCCTGGCAGGAGGCCTCCTCATGGCTTCCTGATGAGAATCACAGGAGACCTAACAACAGCCCTTTTAAAAAAACAACATCCCCAATTCCACTAACTCGTTAAACAGAGAGAGCCTGAAAAGTGCCAACACTCCTATGAGAAAAGACTGGAGAGAGGGAGGGAGGGAGGGAGAGAGAGAGAGGGAGGAAAGAAAAAGCAGGTTATTTATAACGCCAGGCAGCCTTAGGGTCTCTTCAGTCTCTCCTGCAAACTGGCTGCTGCTGGGAGGTCACCCCTGCCGAGCCCGTGACCTGCAAGCACAATATTTGATTTGGGATCTAGGGCGGGCACCAGGCTTTGCAGAGCAGGAGACACTCTCACATGCTGCTTGACACACGGGAGATCCCGGAGAAGAGCAGCGAGGCTTTGGGAAGGAGGCTCTTAGCTTGGTAAGTCCTTCTCTGTATTTATTATGTTGGGGTTTTTTTTATTATGTTGTTTTTTGAAGCCTGATTTCCATCCCCTCGCCGGCTGCCACCTGGAGCACATGCCAACCACAGGGGTGGCACAGCTCCCCAGCCACCACGGAGGGGAAATCCTCTCTCCCTCTACCCACATCTCTTGCCACTCTGGCAGCTTCTTGCCCACTTTGGCCAAGAGCTGGACACCTCCAGCCATGGACACCCAGGTGTGGGCAGTGCCTGCTCTTTGCCTCGCACAGCCCTGCTGGGTGAAGCTGGTTTCATGCCTGGCACAGCAGTGATGGGCAGAGTCCATGGCTGACCATGGGCTGAGAAATCCCTTGCTCCAAAACCTGCTCCCTCCCAGGGTGAGGAGCTGATCCCATTACCCTGCAGCCTCTGGCATGGGAGCATGGACACCAGGAGGTGACATGGATCTCATGGCCAGCACACTCACCCCAAAACCAGAGCTGGAGCCCACTGGGAAGAAGCAGCCTCCAAATGAAACAGGAGACTGCTGAGGACACGCTCTGGGGTTACCAGTATGCTGAAGAGGGGCACTGGGAAAGGTGGACAGGCCCGGTGGAACAGTCCTGTCCTGAACAGAAGTTCAACACCCCCAAAGAAAGAGCTGCCTGGGTGGAGAAGCCCCTGTGCAGAGCTCTGCTATTTGAGCAGGCAGAGTGCCCTGGAAAGCAGGGAGGAGGAGAAGAAACTCCTCTGTGACTGCCAAGCTCCCCAGCTCCACGCAGCATCCCAGAGGACCACGTCTCATCCACCCTTTGGCGGAACAAGCGCATGAAGGAGGAAGGAGGGAGAGAAGGAGGAAGCCAGGAGGGAGCCCTGCCTGCTCCATCCCTCTTCTCCTCCAGCAGGAGTAGCCTGCCAGGGTGCCTCGGTGGCAGGGCAGCCCAGCAAACTGTGTCCTCTTTGTCTGCCAGAGAGACATCCCCCCTCACGACGGGCTGGGGACACGGCCAGGTGTCATGGGGTGACCCCAGGGCCACCCCTTGGCACGGTGAGTTGGGCCACCAGCCCATGCTTGCGGGTTGCCTGCAGGGCGGGAGAGGAGCTGGCAGGAGCAGCCCTGCAGCCACGTAGGAGCCAGCAGGGGGGAGCAAATCCGGCTCCTCTCCCCCTTGGAACAGCTCGGCCCCATGGATTTCCTGGAGGCATTTCAAGCTGCCTCACTCCGGGCCGCTCTTCATGCTCCTTTAGCCCCAAGATGAGGAGCCAGGGTGACCCAGAGCCCTCCTGCCATCAGTGCCACCATGTGCCAGCTGCCAAGACAAGGGGCTCAGGGAGAGGTTTTCCTTGGCTCCAACCAAGCCCCCTGCCCTGCTCCCATCAGGGTGCCAGCCCTTGCCAGGCTGAATCCCACACTATGGGTCCAAGCACCAGGTCTGGTGATGGCTCCTTCTCTCCCTGGTCACCTCACCCTCAAGGAGCCAGTAGGTGCTGCCCCTTTTCGTGTCGGGGCTGAGCTCAGGAAATCCAGGCTGGAAAGTGGTTTTCATGTCAAAAAAATGAGCCAGAACTTGTTTACCAGGATTTACATCAATCCTGAGCAGCACGAGCATCCTGCTTTTTTTTGTGGGGGAAGGGAGAGCTGGATGAAACCCACAGTGAATGATGTTGCCAGCAAGGGTAGCATAAATATAGCTCCATCGAAACATGCCTCGAGCTCCATCAACCTGTTCCTGCAGCCACCACTCTCCTCCCCTTGGCCCAAGAGCAGCCAAGTCCTTTCTCCTCCCTCCCATGCAGAGCCAGCAGGGGCAAATCCCAGGCAGCTCGGGGCAGGATTGCATGACCTTACACAGATTTGGGCCACATGCCCCATATATCTCCACCCTCTGCTCTGTTGTAACAGAAGTACCCATAAATAAAGATTTTGCAAGAAAATATCCTCTGGGATGGAGGTTTCTAGAAGGCCTGAAGTGAAAAGGGGGTGAGATTCACTCAGGCCCCCTGGTTCTCCAGCTCTGCCACCAACCCCACTGGATTCTCAGGCCTTGAGATGCAGCCCACCTGCCTCTACCCCTTACACCAGAGCTGACACTACTGATAGTTTGTTCCCTCCCTATTTCTCCCTCACCCAGGTCCTTCCAGCACCAGCACCATGCATTGGGCCACCATCCTGATCATTGCTGGACTCTGTGGAACCTCCCTGGGTCAATACAATGAAGAAGAAGACCTGGCCTGGCTGCAGTACTACATGAGGCAGTCCCGCATGTCCTCCTACAACTACATGCCCTACTACGAGGATGAGAACACCCCCTATGTCTACTCTTACCTCCCAGCTCCAGACACGGAGCCAGAGCCTGGCCCTGAACCTCAGCAAGCGCCTTCCTGGCAGTGTCCCCAAGAGTGTGATTGTCCCCCCAACTTCTCATCAGCCATGTACTGTGACACCCGGAACCTGAGGTACCTGCCCTTCGTGCCTTCCCGGATGAAATACGTTTACTTCCAGAACAACAGGATCACTGCCATCCAAGAGGGAGCTTTTGACAATGCCACGGAGCTGGAATGGCTGGCGCTGCACAACAACCAGATCTCCAGTGAGAAGATGGGCAAGAAGGTCTTTGCCAAGCTCAAAAGACTGGAGAGGTTGTACATGAACAACAACAACCTGACCAAGGTGCCCAGCCCTTTGCCACGGACTCTGAGAGAGCTCCACTTGTCTTATAATCAGATCTCCAAGGTCCCCTCCAATGCTCTGGAGGGTCTGGAGAACCTCACGGCTCTGTACCTCAGCCACAACTTCATTTTTGAGATGGGAGCATCCCTCAAAGGGCTCAAGTCCTTGATCCTTGCTGATCTGAGCTACAACCACCTCAGGAAAGTCCCTGATGGGCTCCCAATGGCTTTGGAACAGCTCTACCTAGAATACAACTACATCAACACCATCCCTGATAACTATTTCAAAGTCTCACCCAAGCTGCTCTATGTACGGATGTCCCACAACAGCCTGACAAATCAAGGTCTCTCTACCAACACTTTCAACAGCAGCAGCATCCTGGAGCTGGACCTCTCTTACAACAGGCTCCAGAAGATCCCCCGTGTCAGCACCAACCTGGAGAACCTCTACCTTCAGGGGAACCAAATCAATGGTGAGCAGAAACGCATCGACCAAAGCGCGGCGGTGCCATAGAGGGGTGGGGAGGTGGGGATGCAGAACCTGTGCCTCCCTCTGGGAGACTGGCTGGGGTCATGGTGTGAGCAGGAAGCTGGTATTTGGGAGACTCCCAGGTGGCCCTCAACAAGGCAGGAATGGGGCCTGTTGTGTCCCAATAGCCATGGAGAGCTCTGAAGGCTCCCATCGTTGCACTGGTTTCACCCAACCTTTAGCAGAAGTCTGAGCATCTTCTGGTTAGAGAGGCCAGAAACCAGCTGTGGGCAGAAGCTGATGCACCAGGTGGAGAGGGAACTGTGGCTTTAGTCCAGCATTGCACACAGGCTGGGGGGTCACCAATAGGGTGGACAGAGGTGGGAGGTCCTCACAGCCACCATCACTATACCTGGGAACACACATCACCCTGGCCAGTGCTAACACAGAGGACAGGGACATTCCCAGGCTGCAGCCCCTTTCTCCAGCCCCCTCTGCCCACCTCCTTCCCTGCAGGGCATTGGCACAGCCCAGGGCTCCAAAGCCCTCCCAAAGGGATCCCCCCAACTTCCACAGCTGAGGGGAACATCCTTGCTGGGTCTGGGACAGACAGGAGCTCTTAGTTATTAGAGCCATCAACGCAGCATCTTCTGCCAGGACTAAAATTCATTCCACTTAATACACAAATAAATAAAAGGAACAGATTGTTCTGGGGCTGCTATTTATAAAAATATGCTAGGGGGGAAAAAAATACCAAACAAATTAACTCCCTCCCCCAAAAAAACCCAACAACTAAGCAATCTCTTGGAAAAACCCAGGCTTGTCCCTCTCACCTGCCAGGTCCTGAGGGCAGGACCGTCCCGGAGCGGTGCTGGAGCCGCCGGGCCAGCCTGGGATGAGGAGGGGGATGTGTTGGTGCACCCATCAGCTGTTGCAGAGGAAACACACAACCCCGCACCCAGGATCCGACAGCAACACAAAAACAAGGACAGATTTCCAAGTGTTTGCTTTCAGACCGGGCTGCCGGCACCGGCTGCCCGCAGACCCCCCAGACC